TACTTAATGAAAAGGATCGGGACGTCACTCGATCTATGGCTGAAAAATGTTGACGATCCGGTTGATGGAAAAAATTTGATCGAATTTCGATTTCGACGTGTGCCCTTCGGTGTGGTTTCATCACCGCTCCTATTGGCGGCAGTGATCAAGCATCATTTGCAATCAGTGCCATCAAATGTAGCAAGGGAGCTGGAACGGAACTTGTATGTGGATAATGCTATCATAGAAGCAGAGATTCCGGAGGAAGCGAAGAGTAAGTATAAAGAAGTTAAGGAAATATTTAAGACAGCGCAAATGAATATGCGCGAATTTCTTTCAAATTCGATTGAATTCAACAAGTCGATACCAGAATCCGACCGTAAAAAAGAACAATTAACGAAAGTGCTAGGAATTGTGTGGAATTCAACCACCGACACGCTCTGCGTGAAATTACTAAACATAGAAGGAGAAGTAAAGAAACGAAAAATCTTGCAAGGAATTGCATCAATCTTCGACCCATTGGGACTCATCTCCCCCGTATTATTACCAGCCAAGGTCTTACTTCAAAACCTCTGGAGAAACAAATACCGTTAGGATGATAAAATAAATGCTGTAGAAGCCAGCGAATGGAAACGAATCATTAAGGAGTGGAAGAACGCCTGCATAGAAATACCAAGAAAAGCAGCAATAAAAAATGACGTGAAGGGAATGCACGTCTTCACTGATACTTCACTGAATGCCTATCTTACAGCAGTATACGTGAGAAGTGCATGTCAAAAGACAACTATCTGTTTGTTTGTATTTGCAGAGGCGACTGTACCAAGTCAAAGGGGCAACGATCCCAAGAGCAGAACTGTTAGCTATATTAATCGGAACTCGTGCAATGCAATACATCAACAAGCAGTTGGATTTGCAAGATATTCCGGCATATTTGTGGACAGACTCTATGTGTGTGCTGAAGTGGATTCGTAACCATGCCAGTATGCAAACGCTATTCATTCAAAATCGATTAGAATCAGAAAGGTAAAAGTTCGATTCCGATATGTTCTTTCAGAGGACAATCGTGCGGACGTCGCAAGCAGAGGGACACAAATCAACATGCTCAGAAAGGGTGCACTATGATGGTGCGGCCCCAGCGTGGTTGTGCAAAGAACAATCAAAATGGCCCGATGCACCGGAAAAGGAAGATTACAAATCAGGTACAGAAACAGAGAAAATCGAAAAAGACGAAAGCCATAACGGACTAGTAGCAATCAAAGTAAACAAAGAACAGCCAGATGGGAAATCGCTAGCAGACATGAAACATTCCAGCAGCTGGAAGAAATTAACTTGAACCGTCGCTCATGTTCTCAAGTTTGTGTAGAGGATTTCTAAAAAATCCTTACAATCAGTTCAAGATATTTCAAAAGGAAACACAACAGTGGTAGTAGACTATTCACTAGCTCTTCAGAGAAGCTCAAAAAGAAGAAATTCCTCCTAAGGAGCGCAAAAAATTGCAGCTATTAGAAGACAATCATGGTGGCGGACTATTGATTGAAACGAATTTGTCGATTACCACTATACGTCCAATTTACTTACCAAATTTACTTACCGAAAAAACGCTCATTATCAAAAAATGTTCATGAAAAATTACTGCACAATGAGAACAATCAAACGCTAGCGGAGCTGAGAAGATTTTGGAACGAGAACGGTAGAAGCAGAGTAAAACGAACCATCAAACAAGAATGCTTGGAATGCCGAAAATGGACCAGAAATCATTTCAGTTACCTCACTGTCCAACAAATCCGGGCGAACGAATGCGACGTAGTTCGGTGTTTGGAAATGTAGGTTAAACTACTTCAGACCAGTTGACATCAGAACCTGGGGACCTGAGGCGTCAACAAAGCGCTGGATTGCGCTATTTTGCTGGTTGAGCATTAGAGCAATTCATCTAGAAGTGTTAAAGGACTCAAGCACGGAGGCCTTTTTGAATAATTTGCAGCAATTCATAGCTAGACGTGCAACACCAAAACAAATCATTTTTGACAATGCTCTTTGCTTCAAAATGACGGGCGAGCTAATCGAGAATGCAAGAAATCGCGATATAGAGAATCCCAAAACTGATGGATTATTGCAGTGAAAGGGGGATCCAGCGGAAGTTCATTACTCCACATGCGCCGCAGCAGGCGGAGTGTATGAAAAATGGATTGGGATTACAAAAACAGCATTCAAGCGCGTGATAGGACGACGTTTTTTAAAGGAGAAGAATTGGTCACAACAATTACCGAAATTGAAGCGATATTAAACTCAGGATCACTGACGTAAATGGCCGAAGACTTAGTAGAAGCTCTTCGACCAGTTGATTTCATCTCTCTGTTAGCAAGAAATGGTAAACCATTGAGAGCAGTCGAAGAAATAGACATCGAAGAATATCATCTCGGAAGCAAACCTTCGACAAAAGAACTGCTGATGAAACAATGGATCAGAGCAAACAAATACTTAAATCTCTTCTGGGACTACGGGCAACGAAACTACCTTCTCAGTTTAAGAGAACGATGGCAAACGGAGCATTAGCAAGGACGAAGTCTCACGAGAAGAGAGTTGAATCTAAAGTTGTGGTAATCAAAGATAAAAATCAACCGCGAGGCACGTGGAAATTGGGAATAGTCGAAGAAACGTAGGCTGGAACGTACCAGGCGAGCCGGTGCGATCATGCGTTTTTGCACAAAACTTGAATTG